TCAGCCTACCACAGCCTCCATTACCCCCCGCCAATGCTTCTTCCCTTTACTCCTCTTTTCCACTCACACTCTGCTGCTGCCTTATGAACTTCTTATTGTTCAGTAGGCTTATGGTATTAGGGGAAACTCCCATCTACCGCTGGGGGATATTGGGACATTAGAGGTTGTCACCCCTCCTGTTCATCCTTCTTTCCTCATTGCCTTCTATTAATTTTTGTGTATAAGCAGGCTGTAAGTGCTGCATAAGCCCTGTGCTGATCCTCTGCTTGAAGCGAGTTTCACCAAGATACGCTGCACACATTTTGGGTATCTCCTGTAATAGCTGAGACAAACTGCTGGTTCTGTCCTCTCTCACAGTTCAGGGCAATTGCACCCTGTGTCTCCCCCTCTGTGGTCCAGCAAGGGCACCTACTCTAGGCTTCTCAGCCATCCCTTCTCTTTGTCAGAGACTTGCCTCGCTCTCCCTCCTGACTGGGTTTTTCCAGGCTGCACAGGTCCCTGCCTACACTGTGTTATTTGCAGAAAGCCAGATTGCCTAGATAGACCAGCATCTGCAATCTCCTCAGAGGCTATGAATAACTGTAATTGCCCATACTTACAAGTTACCACACAGTTCTTTATAAGCAAGGTGAAAGCATTACCGAGAAAACATATAAGAACTAATAAAAATTCCTATTCACATGCTAAATGTTTACCAGAGGTCACCCATCAGTCTTATGTGGCCTCAGTAAGCCAAAGTCCTTCCAACCCTTCCTAGAAAGGATTGGATCCCTCCTTAGACAGACCGACCTGTATGTTTGCTTGGTCAGAAAGCAGTCCCTGAGTCAGTTTAAATTCAGGCCATTTATCCAAAAGTCCTTTCTCTGCCTATTGGTCTCTGGAGAACCCAGTTTGAGCTAGAATATGTGAGCCTCTCCAGGTGGCAGTACATCTTTGGAGACATTACAGCCTGAGTGCATTTGCCTTATCACCCTGCACTGTTCTTAAATCTTGGGTAGGTGTGGTCATGCTCCCCTATGGAATTATATACAGTGATACATAAACTTAATACAGTAAGATCTTCCAATGATATTGCAGGAAATTGCCATGTCTGTCACAACGTCCCCTCGAAGTATTTACATCTTGAAATCCTGATGTCTGTTGTAATTCAAGTCCATTTGATCATATCTGTTACCTGCAATATCTATTTAAAAATAAAACAAATGCAAACTTCAGTGTTAGATTTAGAGCAGAGTTGCAAACTTCTGCTTTCCCAGGGCAAGAGATTATTTTTCCCAGGCAAGGTAAAATATACATACATATATATTTATCATCATGGAAAAGATAAATGGGTAAATTTTGATTTATTTATATTGTAGTTCTCCAAGTAGGGACTGTCTGTTACTCTAAGTTTGTGCAGTGCATGGCACAATGGGGCCTTAGTACGTTCCTCTTTAGGCATTACTATAGTAAACGTGATTAGTAATAAATAATTTGTGCCTAAACTGGTAAATTTTCATGAAGGTTTTGCAAAACTGATTTAGAGGCACGCACTAACTGTTTTTATCACATTGTCTTAACTACTTGATGAATTCCTAAAAGCAGTTTGTAATAAAGTCATGTAATAAATGAACTTTGCAACACTACAGAAGACTAAAGATTATAGTTTATATTTATTATGTTGATAAAGATTCTACCATTTTAATGCAGTTGCATATAAAACAAATAAAAGGAAGTATTTCTTCACACAACGCACAGTCAACCTGTGGAACTGTTTGCCAGAGGATGTTGTGAAGGCAAAGACTATAACAGGGTTCAAAAAAGAGCTAGATAAATTCATGGAGGATAGGTCCATCAATGGCTGTTAGCCAGGATGGGCAGGGATGGTGTCCCTAGCCTCTGTTTGCCAGAAGCTAGGAATGGGCAACGGAGGATGGCTCACTTGATGATTACCTGTTCTGTTCATTCCCTCTGAAGCACCTGGCATTGGCCACTGTCAGAAGACAGGATACTGGGCTAGATGGACCTTTGGTCTGACTCAGTATGGCCATCCTTATGTTCTAAAGCTAGAAAGGATATATCTATTCTTTGCGAATAAGCCACCAAAGAAATATACACAAGCATTATAAAAAGGTTATTAGCAAACATACAGATGTTATATCATCATTGCTAGTGTGACTACAGCTTTGAGAGGTAGTTGAAGTGTTAGATTAGAATGTAACAGATTGCATTCTTTGACAAATCGCTACCCAGAGGTGTCAGGAGTAAGAAATAAACAGGGAATGAAGACAGTAATTAAAATAGATGCAGGAGATATGTTGACTGCAGAGGTTTCAAGTAATAAGCTAAGTCGCTACCATTTCCCAGAGTCAAACAAAGCTAAAGTGGAAAGTTCTCTGAACAAATTTCAGGAACTGGTACAACAGACAGTGATTTTTCTGGTGCCCTGATCAGAACAGGGAGCATAATGTTTTTTTTAAGAGGGAACAAAAGGCTTGGTGAAAGGCCTTCCAATGCCCATGCAACTATTGTGTGGTGCAGCTTGTGATTCAGCTCTTCCATCTTCCCAGAAAAAGAAGTTCTCCCAGATGGGGCAAATCTATTCATGCATCCTGAACACACAACTAGATACCTGTGGATGTAGAAAGCTAAAATCGATAGAGGGCCTCAATTCCTATGAGGTTCTGAACAACATCTGTTGGATGCTGAGCATCCTCCACCCCTCTTGACATCAGTAAGAGTAAAGGGTGCCCAGCAAGCACCTTGAAGGTTTGGACACATGCCAGGTTGCCTGTGCCCCTTCTTCAGTGCTCCTTTGCTCCATTACTCATGTGTACCTAACTGTGTAGTGGTGGTGTGGTGGAGAGCAGATTGAATTGACCTAGACTGTTAGCCACCCCTCAGTCAATGACAGATTAGTGTGTAAACCCAGGCTATAGCTCAACTCTCTTATCTGGAGCAATTTGAAAGTCATATATTTACCCTCAGTGTTTGATGATAAATGTTATATAACATCTTTCATATCCACTTCCCGGTATTAATAATGTTACTACAAAATTATATGTTGCAATATCTAAAGTAATTACAGAGCAGCAGAGGGAGAAAGAATCCTTCCCTGGGCCATATCTATACAATCATTTCCTCTTCCAGTTTCCACCGCTTCTTCCTCCTGAATGTTCCATTTGTATCCACCTTCCACTCGTCTCTTCATGCCTTTGTGATTGCTTCTGCTCCACACCTGTAATTCCCTCCCAATAATTATTCACTAAGTCACTTCCTTCTTGTCACTAAAGTACCCCCCTTAAAACACTTATTCCAGCGCGGGGAGCTTCTCAATGAAAATCTATCAAACATAGAAAGTTCGTTTGAAAAATACACTTCTTGAAGTCTCTGCTGCTGATTTTTGCTTCATATATGTGGGTTATACTGTTTTTCTCATTTGGAATGTATTTTCCCTGGGGTATATTCTGTCATCAGTACTGTTTCTAACACAGTCAAGCCTACTGTTGGTGCTCAGCAAATAATAATCAATTTCCCAGTCATTGGCTTCCAACGTAGCTCCCATCCCAGAGTGGAAGGGCTACAAATTGGTAATGGGACTTATGAATTACCATGGCAGATTCCATCCTGCATCAAAGAACAGCAGATCTTTGATGTTCCTGTATTAACATTTTGTTTTTGGTCTCCTTTCAAACCATCTCACTGAGCAATTATTTGTATCCGCTTGGACAAGCCCCTTGAAATATTTTTGTATGAAAGAAGGCTTAGTCCTCATGGAACATCATGTGTATGATGCATCCATCAGGAGTGGTCCATGTGATGCTATTGTGAAATTCTTTTGATAACTACAGTGTGACAGAATAAAAATTACATCAGTTTCCTTGAAAACATACTTTAAAACTTCTTAGTTACTTAGTCATCTTGTACTTTTCATGCACTGTATTTCACCTTTCCCAAGCGCTATCATTTGATTATTACACCCACACACTGTAAACAAACAGAGAAACACAAAAACGGAGTCTGAGTAACGAGATGAAGCCTCATCCCTTTCTGTAATCCGTTTGGGGCAGGCTATGAATTATGCCCCTGACTCACACTAAAACCTAGTTTGAAGTCTTCATTCAGATCTCTCTGGAGATGCATTCGGTGGGAGAGCATCATGAGCTTTAGCAATTCAGCCTTTAACATATTTGGTTAGGTTAGTAATTATTCTATAAAATGACCACGTGTGAAATGGGCAATATATTTAATACCTGCTGGTGACTTTTACAGTATGTCCACCCATTTGAGGAGTGGTTCTGTCAGATTCCCCACTCTGATCAGAAGTGGGCCTAGTTTGCTGCTTCTTGCTCACATCAGGGTGAAATCCATCTCTTTGCAGAGGGTCTGTGCACTCTCATTTTCCACTCCTGCCCTGTTCTGATGGTTTAAATGGCCTTCAGTGTTGTGCAGACCTAGTGCTGATACAAGGTTGGATTTCACCCATCAGTCCCTATTTGAATAATTGACTCAGTAGGAAGAGAAATAGGGTTTCTCATTTGCATACAGATGAACCTTTTTAAGTAAATAAACCTGCTGTTCACACTTGATGAAAGAAATGAAAAACAAACAAACAAACAAATTGCAAAGTTACAAAAGTGTTCTCCAAAATCTATTTTCCTTATTAGTTGTGAACAAAACCCCCTCAAAACTTGTGTACAGCATTTAAATATCCTATCTGGTAATCTTTGGTGCAGTATGAGCATGTTTTATTTTGAAATGTACTACAGAAACTTTAGTAAGACAGAAACAGTCCTCTAATATGCTGTTCTAGGAATGGGAAAATGTTTTGCTTTATTTATATCTTGCCTTGTCTTTTGCTTTTAATAATGTTGTTTAGTATATGCAGAAAATAGGTCTATGGAGTTGCAAATAACAATTTAAGATCCTCTCGACAGAGAGTCAGTGACAGTAACCTGAAGAGTTATGTGTTTCATGATTAGTGAATTAAGAATGTTCTTTCTCTCGCTCTCTCCCTCCAGGTATCCTCATGGGAGCATTTATAAAAATTATAGAGTCTCAAAAACTGGCCAACTGGAAGGTATATTTGAAGCAATTCCTTTTTAATTGTAGTCATGTTCTCTGGGATTTTTTAAATGTTGATTATTGTTTGCAATATCAATTATTTTAGGCTTAGTTCCGAACGGTGGTTTTTTGGTTTTTTTGGGGTGGTGGTTGGTTTTTTTGCTGCATACCATGGTTGTTTTCGAATAACCACAACCAGATACTTGTGTTTCCCTGTTAAGGGCCTGATCCTGCTGGATAGTAGGTACCTTCTCCGAGGTGTCTTGCCTCTTCTATTCCCATTGAATTAAATGGCAATAGAGGGTGCTCAGTATCTTGCAGGATTGGAACAATTTTAGTAAGGAACAAAGTTCAATTATTTTTTCTTAACAACTCCCCTTCTGGTTGAATCAACGTGCTTGGTACTGTCACTGTGGTCGGTCAGTAGTGTAGGGGCTCTTCTTATAAAATACTGTTCTTATACTCATGCAAATGCAATTTTTTTTGCCTGTGACTGTCGAGCCAGCCTTGGCAGAGAAGAGCAGAAACCCTTCATCAAAACTGTTTTGCTAAAAATCAAAAGAAGCTGCATTTACTGAGTTTATATTTTTAAAATGGCTTTAGGTTTTGAAAATTTAGCAATTGACTGTGTTTAGCACCAATGAGTAATAAATCAAACCCTTCCTTAAAACACTCGCATTTTGCACTCCATGTTTCTTGGGAACCCCTAGAATTGTTTACCGATAAATGCTACAGAAGCCAGAGGTGCTTGGAGCAGCAGCATTTTCCATACTCTGGGAGCCATGTTGGAAAAGTCACAGAGCAAAGCAGGGCATGCACATGAGTCCTGTTTCCAGGACTTAACAGAGGTGAAGTAGTTGTGCAGAGGGGCTGGCTTTGTGCAGATGTCCCAGGACTCACACCCTCCATGAGGTTTCTAGTCTGTGCCTCTGCATAACTGTAAAGCCCTCCCCATGAGAGGAGAATGCTACAGCAGTGACTCCATGAGGTGAATCCTACAGTTATAGGAGGATTTTATCCCCTGCAGGCTAACCTGCATCAGGAAAGCATTTCGCTCTTGATTATTTGATGTTTTACTGCTGATTTATTTTAAGATAATTTAATCTTTAAGCGTTTGTCCTCAACAGCCTCTGTGCTGTTGAGGAGGATGAAAGTGTTGGGAAGGAGAACATCAAACTGGAGTGGAGGGAAACAATCCCATAGTTAGGACCCTCATTCCAGATGATGTCATGGTATCCTCTCACACTGAGGATGCCCCTCCAGGGTAGGGAACTCTAGTTATTAGGAAGAGACAGGTAATAATAATGGGGGATTTGGTCATTAGAAATATAGATGGTTGAGTTTATGATGACTGGGAGAACCGCATGGTGAATTGCCTGCCAGGTGCAAATCTCTTGCAGATCTCTTAAGACATCTAGACAGACTTTATGTGCAGTGTGGAGAGGAGCCGGTGGTCGTGGTACATGCAGGTAGGAATGACATAAGAAAAGGTAGGAAAGAGGTCCTAGAGGCCAAATTTAGGCTGCTAGGTAAGAGATTAAAGTCCAGGAGCTCCATAGTATCCTTCTCTGAAATACTTCCAGTTCCACATGCAGGGCCTGTTGGACAGGCTGAACTGCAGGGTCTCAATGCATGGATGAGCTGATGGTGTAGGGGGAAGGGGTTTAGATTTATTAGTAACTGGGGAATCTTTTGGGAAAGGAGGAGCCTATATAGGAAGGATGTGCTCCACCTAAACCAAAACAGAACCAGATTGTTGGCATGTAAAATTAAAAAAATCATAGAGGAGTTTTAAACTAAGGGCTTGGGAAAGCCAACAGGTGCGGAAGAGCACTTGGTTCAGACAGCGACATCCCTTAGGGGAAGATCTATTAATGGGGATTCTCTATATCCTAGTAAAGAGGAGAGGATAGAAGTTGATAAAGTACAGGTAGGAACTGAAGAGAAACAATCAAATGAACAAGAATCCCATTCAGTTACATCACATGAAGGCAGACAGGTAAATTTTGACAATTTTTATAAGTGCTTGCATACAGATGCTTGAAGTCTCAGTAATAAGATAGTTGAACTCAAGTGCCTGGTATTAAATAAGGATATTGATATAATAGGCATGAGAGAAACTTGGTAGAATGATGATAATCAATGGGGCATGGTAATATCAGGGTACAAAATATATAGGAATGACAGAGTAGATCGGGGTTTCAAACTCAAATGACCACGAGGGCCACATGAGGACTAGTGCATTGGCATGAGGGCCGCATCACTGACACACACCCCCCTCGCTGCCCCTGGCTCTGCCCCCACTCCACCCCTTCCATGAGGCCCCGCCCCCGTCTCTTCTCCACCTCCTCCCCTGAGCGTGCGGCTCCCTGCTCCTCCGCCCCTCCCTCCTGGAAAGTGCTAAGTGATACCAACAGTAATGCACCTCACTCAAAGGACAAAACATACACTTAGTTAGATTTACTTCTGTTAAAGCCCCCCCACTGCACTGGGTGCACCACCACTCCACCCCTGCTCTGCCTCTTCCAGGGGTGGCAGGTTTGTAGAAATTTTGGTGGTGCCCAGAACCTGCCCCCCCAAACTCCGCCCCCACCTGCCTAAGGCTCTGGGAGGGAGTTTGGGTGGGGGGGTGCAGGCTCTGGGATGGAGTTTGGGGATAGGAGGGGGTGCAGGGGTGAGGGCTGGGGATGAGGGGTTTGGGTCATTGAAGAGGGTCGCGGCATTGGAGAGGCTCAGAACTAAGGCAGAAGGGAAGGGGAAGGGCAGTGCCCTGGCCTTAGTGGAGGGGGGGCACTAGGACCCTGCGGCAGCAGGTGATGCCGGAAGCCGGCAGAGCTGAGCGGAGTCAGCATGAGCTGCAGGCTCCGGGCAGTGAAGGGGCAGCAAGTGAGCCCGGGGGACACTCGGGGGAGATGCGTGGGGGTGGCAGGCAGGGCCGGGGGAGAGACCCGGCCCCAACATTGGGGAGCAGGGAGCTTAGCTGCCATATAAAATAACTTCGGCGGGCGGGGCGGGGAGCTCATGCGGCCCACAGGCCGCGTGTTTGAGACCCCTGGAGTAGATCATGCTATTGGGGAAACGGCACTATATGTTGAAAGAAAGCATAGAGTCAAATATAGTCAAAATCTTAAAGGACTCAAACTGTACCATAGAATCTCTATGGATAGAAATTCCAGGCTTGAATTATAAGAGTATAGCAGAAGGAATATACTACTGACCACCTGACCAGGATGGTGATGGTGAATGTGAAGTGCTCAGGGAGATTAGAAAGGCTATAAAAATAGCAAACTCAATAATAATGGGGAATCTCAACTATGCCTGTATTGACTGGGTACATGTAACCTCAGAACAGGATGCAGAGATAAAATTTTTAGACTGCTTTTTGGAGCAGCTAGTCCTGGAACCCACAAGGGGAGTGGCAATTCTTGATTTAGTCCTAAGTGGAGCACAGGATCTGGTCCAAGAGGTGACTGTAGCTGAACCACTCGGTAATAGCAACCGTAATGCAATTAAATTAAACATCCTTGTAAGGGGGAAAATACCAAAGAAGCCCACCGCAGTAGCATTTAATGTCAAAAGTGGGAAATACACACAAATGAGGAAGATAGGTAAACGGAAATTAGAAGGAACAGTCACAAGAGTGAAATGTCTACAAACTGCATGGAAACTTTTTAAAAACACCACAATAAAGGCTCAAATTAAATATATACCCCCAATTAAAAAAAATAATAAGAGGACCAAAAAATGCCACCATGGCAAAACAGAATAAAAGAGTTGGTTAGAGGCAAAAAGGCATCCTTTAAAAATGGGAAGTCAAAGCCTACTCAGGAAAATACAATGGAGCATAAACTCTGGGAAGTCACGTGCAAAAGTATAATTATGCAGGCCAAAAAAGAATTTGAAACGCAAAATTAAAAGACACAAAAACTAACAGCAATTTTTTTAAAAATATATCAGAAGGAGGAAGCCTGCCAAACAATCAGTGGGGCCACTGGACAATTGAAGTGCTAAAGGAGCACTCAGGGAAGACAAGGCCATTGTGGAGAAGCTAAACAAATTATTTGGATCAGTCTTAACTGCAGAGGATGTGAGGGAAATTCCCACAACTCTGAGCCATTCTTTTAGGTGATAAATCTAAGGAACTGTCCCAGACTGAGGTGTCAGTAGAGGAGGTTTTGGAACAAATTGATAAATTAAACAGTAATAAGTCACCAGGACCAGATGGTATTCACCCAAGAGTTCTGAAGGAACTCAAATATGAAATTGCAGAACTACTAACTGTGGTATATAACCTATCACTTAAATCAGCTTCTATACCAAATGACTGGAGGATAGCTAATGTGACTCCAATTTTTCAAAAAGTTTCCAGAGGTGATCGGCAATTACAGGTTGGTAAGCCTTACCTCAGCACTGGGCCAATTGGTTGAAACTGTGGTGAAGAACAGAATTATCAGACACAGATGAACACAATTTGTTGGGGAAGAGACAATATTCCTTTTGTAAATGGAAATCATGCCTCACCACTCTATTAGAATTCTTTGAGGGTGTCAACAAACGTGGACAAGGGTGGTCCAGTGGATATAGTGTATGTGGGCTTTCAGAAAGCCTTTGACAGGGTGCCTCAACAAAGGCTCTTAAGCAATCATGGGATAAAAAGGAAGGTCCTCTCATGGATCAGTAACTGATTAAAAGTCAGGAAACAAAGGATCGGAATAATTGGTCAGTTTTCCGAATGGAGAGAGGTAAATAGTGGTGTCCCCCAGGGATCTGTACTGGGACCTGCGCTGATCCACATATTCATAAATGATCTGGAAAAAAGGGGTAAACTGAGGTGTCAAAGTTTACAGATGATGCAAAATTACTCAAGATAGTTAAGTCCAAAGCAGACTGCGAAGAGTTACAAAATCTCACAAAACTGGGTTACTGGGCAACAAAATGGCAGATAAATGCAAAGTAATGCACATTTGCAATCATCATCCCAACTATACATACAAAATGATGGAGTCTAAATTAGCTGTTACCACTCAAGAAAGAGATCTTGGAGTCATTGTGGATAGGTCTCTAAAAATATCTGTTCAGTGTGCAGCTGCATCAAAAAAAGCTAACAGAATATTAGGAAAGGGATAGATAATAAGACAGAAAACATCATAATGTCAGTATATAGATCGATGGTATGCCCACATCTTGAATACTGCATACAGTTCTGGTTGCCGCACCTCAAAAAAGATATATTAGATATAAATGGAAAAAAGTACAGAGGTCAACAAAAATTATTAGGGGTATGGAACAGTTTCCATATGAGGAGAGATTAAAATACAGGGACTATTCAGCTTGCAAAAGAGATGACTAAGGGGAGATACAATAAAGGTCTATAAAATCATGAATGGTGTGGAGAAAAGTGAATAAGGAAATGTTACCACTTCACATAACACAAGAACCAGAGGTCACCCAATGAAATTAATAGGCACCATGTTTAAAACAAAGGGAAGTACTTCTACACACAAAGCACAGTCAACTTGTGGAACTTATTGCCAGAGGATGTTGTGAAGGCCAAAAATATAATGGGCGCAAAAAAGAATTAGATAAGTTCATGGAGGATAGATCCATTAATGGTTATTAGCCAAGATGGTCAGGTCAAGATGACTCACTCGATGATTGCCCTCTGAAGCATCTGGCATTGGCCACAGTTGGAAGACAGGACACTGCTAGATGGACTTCAGACCCACTAGAGCCATTCTTATGATCTTAATTTGTTTCAAAGGATGTAACAATCCATTAAAAGTAGTATTTCCGGTGTGGAACAGCAGCATGTTGAGGTGCAGGTCAAGGTGACACTGGCTAGGAAGCAAACAAGGTCTTGGATAGCAGTTTTATTATTTATTGAACTTGCACTGCATTCAGTACAAACATAAGGAAACCCATCCTTGCCCTAAGAATTTTACAACTTAGATTTCTTGCAGCCAAGTCTGAGTTAGAGATCAGCAAAGCTTGTACTTACTTTCATATGATTCTTGGTGGCTAAAACAGACACCATAATCACCTGCTTGTCCTGTGCTTAAATTCGTCCTCTTCTTTTCCTATGCTCTCACTTTTACCTAGATTTAAAAAATTGTAATACTAAAGAAAGAATGTGTTTAGTGGGTAGCCTAGTGTACAGTTATTAAATCAGAGTGAAAACCTGGTATTATTAGATATTACTAAACTGAATTTCATATAAAGGAAAAATCTAATAAATTATATTTCCATGAAATAAACTTCAGTGTGAGAGATGAGTTTCGTATGCTGATGAGTCCACATAAATCCTCTGTGTTAAGAAGGTAAATTCATTACATGTGCAAATGTGAATGAGGTTTTAAATAGATAAGTGTTTCTGTTTTGCAGGGTGATACTAGGAACAAAGTTGCAGTTTGTCCTTGCAAGGATACAGCGTAGGAGTTACAGTGTCAGGACTTAATATTGTTCAACCTGGATTTAAAGAATCCTTGTTGCTGTTTATAAAGGCAGCAGGCTTCTTAGGCAGTGCCCCTGGAATCTTCAGGGAACCAGGGGATGTAAAGAGAACCACACTGGGCCAAAGATTGTGCACGAATGATTCAGCTTCTTTGCTCAGAGTGCCAGCAAAAAAAAAAAAAAAAAAGCCATTTTTGAGGGTGGCTTTTTGTAAGGCAGTGCAGCCCAAGTGCTTAGAGTAGAGGACAAGGAGTCAGGAGACTTAAGAGCCTGATTCTCATTTACATTAAAGCTATGTCAACACAGCAAGCTAGGGATCTGATTGTCTTGCTCGTGTACACATACTCGTGTTAGCTCTCATCAAGCTAGTGTGAGTATAAATAGCTGCGGAGCTGCACTAGCGCTGGTAGCGGCAGTGGAGGCATTGATGAGCTGTGCTGAGTACTTACCTGTGATGAGTATGTACTTGGCATGTCTCAGCCATGCCTGTGCTACTGCTACCAGTGCTACTGTGCATACGCTGCTATTTATAGCCATGCCTAGCGTAATGATAGTATGTGCACATGAGCAGGGGAATCACACCCCTAGCTTGCAGTGTAGAAATAGCCTAAGGCTCATTTACATCACTGTGACAGTGTAAAAGGGCATTAACCTGGACATAAATTACATTTGCAAATGTGACTCAAGCCCTTTAAATTTTTTCATTGGCATCCTGTGAGCCTGATTTAAAGCTCATGGAAATAAATGAGTCTTTTCATTGACTGCAATGGACTTTGGATCAGGCCCTATGTGACCTTGATCTCTTTCTTCATTGTTTTCTCTCTCTGTAAAGAAAGGGATAATAAAGTTTACTCACCTTTTGTAAAGCACTGTGAGGTCTTCACTTTAGAAATGCAAAGTATTTAAATGCACATGTGCCCACCAGGAACTGTACTGAGACGATGAACTGATTTCACATGGTCCCCTGATCAGCTATCTAATGGCAACAGTATTTGGCAATTACTGTCCTGGACTAGATTCAGATCAGTGACCTAAAGGTGAAAGGTGTGTCCTTTTAGCATTTTCCACCAATTTCCTTTCAGGCTTTGAAAGCCTGCAATAAAAATGGTAATGCTTCTGTAATATAGAAACATTTTTCTTTTTTGCAAGCAGTCTGTTTTCCATACAGTACATTTGGGAACAGTGGTTCATGATAAATAACATGTCCTGTCTCAAACATCAGGTAAAAAAGTTATTTAAAAGGCAATCCTACGGTTGTTTACCATCTGTAATCCTCTTTTATTTAGTGGTGGAAAATGAGACAGGTTAAATATAATTTGTATTTTCAAGTATTTTTGCTTCTTAAAAATGTTTCCATTTAGATAGAAACTTGAAGGGACTAGATTTGGTATTATTTCAGTTATTGTGCAGTCCTTGAAATCCCTTTGCGTTTTTTATTTTGCAGGAGGAAGAAATGTTTCGTCCAAATATGTTTTTTCTTCTCTTGCTTCCACCTATTATATTTGAATCTGGATATTCATTACACAAGGTGAGATACTGCCAGGTAATCATTTTACAACTTGATCTCTCCTTTGGACCAAATTCTGCCTCAGTTACTGTGATGCAACTCTGGAATAATTGCATTGAATTCCACCATACTTACACTCATGGAATTGAGAGTGGAACTTGGCCTCTTGGACCCAGAATGCAGGGCATGTAGTTTCTGCTCATATTAACTGAGCATTGGCAATGTACTAAGTACTATAAAAACATAAAGAGTCATGTTCCATTCTCCAAGAAGTTTCTAATGTGATGCAGGCAAATCAAGGAAGAAGGATCTAAGAAGAAACCTTGGCTATGTCTACACTGGCAATTGAATGACAAAACTTTTGTCTTTCAGAGGTGTTAACCCCCCGCACCCTCCAAAAGACAAAAGTTTTGCTGCGACAAGTGCAGGTGTGAACAGCGTATTGTCGGCAGGAGAGCCGACAAACAGCGGCTACACTGCGCGACTTTTAGCGACACAGCCATGTCGCTAAAAGCTGTGTAGTGTAGACATAGCCCTAGAGAGTTTTCTCTTCCTTTTTAGAACTTGGCTGTAGTGTCCACACTTTAAGCCTTTGCTTTGGGCTTGGCTGAAGTCAAGAAGGCCCTGTTGTATTTTAGTGACAAGCTGGAAGACACATTCCTTGCCCCAAAGAGTTTAAAATCAAAGCTATTGGCCCTAAATAGGAAGTAAATATATTAAAATATATTCTTCATGTTATTAAAAAAACAGATGGGTTTTCTTGTTACAACATATTGGGAGGTACTTTTAGCTGCTCAGCTCTTTAATAACAGCTTAAATCTGAATGAACTTTTAATTCCATGATTAATATCAGCCAGGGCTTCTAGTATCACTGTGTGGAGAATCTTAATAACCATACTGAGCTAAATGAGAATTAGATCCTGCATAAAGAAGACCAGGAAAGAGATTAGTGTAATCTATTTTAATTATTAGGAGTAAAGTAAGTTTGTGCAATGAAATAAAATTTCACTTTAATCATACTTGTAAAGTACAAACATCAAAATGTATTAGTTTTAAAAAAGTATTGCACATAAAGGATTTCCAGATTTATAGTAGGAGAATATGTATTTAATTTGAAGGATGTAGAAGAAAATAACAAAACAAGCAAGGAGATTCTGAGTTAAGGGTGAAACTCTGTTCGTAAAGGGTCAAGACTGATAGAAATAAACGAAGGCCTCCCAGCTGTGCTTTGGTACATGTGTATGCACACTGTCAAAGCAAGTCTTGTAAATGTCTTTCCCCTGCCTGCTTCGTATAGATATGAATATGGGTACATTGAGCCCAGTCCAACCAAGTGCTAAGCACAGATAACCCAGCAATTGGAGGACAAATATATAGGAATCTGCTTTTAACTTCTTAGGTTGTTTTGGGGATTTTTAGTTTTACAGTTTATTTTCACTACCTCACTCTGTCTTGCTTTTGTGTTTTCAGGGTAACTTCTTTCAGAACATAGGTTCCATCACTCTGTTTTCTGTGTTTGGCACAGCAATTTCAGCTTTCATTGTAGGTGGAGGAATTTATTTTCTGGGTCAGGTAAGAAAAATGTCTTTGAAACTCCTGCATGTAATAGGATGGTCCTTCGAAAGCCCATTCTTTCAAAGAAGGGTCAATAGTCAATGGAAAAGATTATATAAAACAGGAACTGATGATAAGCTTTACATTACCATGTATCCCACACATTACGTTACAAAAAGCGGGGGAAGGTCTATCAGTGTATGTAATTTCCTAGTTAGCTCCTGAAGTCAGGCAACTGAGGTGCACAAAAGGTGTATCAAGGTGGAAAAGTGCATTAAACAGGAGAATCAGAATGAATTGCTTTTTCAGAAATGCAGCATGGGCTAAACTAAAGAAGTGATCATAGGACCGGAGTAAGGCACCTCTATGAGTTCTAATCTTAGCTCTGTCACGGACTCACAGAATAGCTTGGGCAACTTCATTTAATCTTTCTCCTATCTCTTATTTCCTCATCTCTACAATGGGGCTAACAATAATTCCCTACCTCACTGATGTCCTGTGAGTTCTAGTTAGAATTTACAGTCTGTAAAGCACTTCTTGGGTATTAATTATTAATTTATTATAACATTTTTATCATTTTGCTGTCTGATGCACACGTGTACATCAGGATTAAAGTGAAGTTTGAAACAAAGCTTCTTATGAAATTATACTAAATGTATACCTAGTAAAACTAATAAAATGAAATCTTTACACAGCTGATTGTAACTTTTTTTTTTTTTTTTGGCCTGTCCTTTTAGGCTGAGGTAATTTATAAACTGAACATGACAGACAGGTAAGTTCTTGGTAAAATTGCCTAGTATCTTCCAAGAGGCATTCTTCAAAATACTGCAGTAGATGTGATGAACAGTACTCGCCCAGGTGTTCTGATTGTGTTCTGGATCGCTTAGATTTAATATCACTTGTAAAATCATTAATCAGAATTAACATTTTTAATTCTTGTAATGCCTTTTTCCTAATGAAGTATATTAAGACTTACTAATCGATAGCATTATCTGATCAAAGTGACTGGAGCAGCAGAAACACAATAACGAACAGCTTGGCACAAAAATATTTTCACAGTATTTTTTTCCTTGCAAAATCTTTTTTTTCTTCAAAATTAAAATGTGTAAATTGTGATGTGTGTTTGATAACCTGACATAATTAAAATATATTATAAAGGGATGGCCTCCTTACCCAGAGCTTCTCCTTAAACAAGGAGTGAACTTGTGAGAATTAATACCATAGACTTTTCAGAGCACTTGGCTGGCAAAGGCTCAACATAGTTTTCTAGAAACTCCCCAAACTGCACAAGAGGTCAGATTTCTGCTCTTGGTTACACTAGTATAAATCCAGTGTAACTGGATGGAGAACTTGCATTTACTTTTTTGTTTTTTTGTTTTGGTTTGTCTTTTACCGTGTACACAAGCACAGAAGATTTGTATTAAAGTCCACAAATCTGTTGGCTTAGTCAGAACCAGGAAACGTGACAAGAAGAAGTATGCATGAACTGCAAATGTCTTCCTTACTGGCTCCAGCATCTGGCTTTGCACAGCTGACAGCTCTTGATTTTGTGGTCTCTACCTTTTGGTATAAGATCTAAGGAAGCTTTAGCATCTTTTTTTAAATGTTTCCCTTTTGTGCTACATAGCAGGAGTATTGTAAGTAGCAACTGATAGCATGGCTAAACCAGCTCCTTGTTTTGGTCTGACTCAGTCTTTTCTGTTAGTCGCCTAGTCTACGAATAAGTATGTGAGAGTCAGTTCCTATGTCAGGGGTTTTTCTGACAAAATAATTAAGTTCCCCACTATGTATGCACAACTAAAACCCAACATACTGATGTAAGGAAACCTACATTAAAAAAATAAAATAAAAAAGTTTGACAGTCTGACAGTGTATGTGAAATCTGAAATGTAAAATATTCTAACTGTGAAAGAAAACTAGGCATCACCTAGTTGATAAAGCCTCTTTCAATTTCAATAACTTTAATGGCATGACAGTAAATACAAGTGTGACCACAGTCAGTTTTTCAAGTAACTGTCTAGGGCAGGTTTTACATTGTTAATGGGATTCTATACAGTCTGTTCACTCTCTATCATTGTACATATCTGATTTGGTGGTTTGGATTGTCACATATTGAAAATCTGTTTCCACAGATTTCCCTTTCTTGCTTTTAGTGGGACACTTTTACTTATTTCTGAAAGTCTGGGGAGGCATATTGCTCCTACTTCTTTGCAACTTGGACATCCATAGGTCAGCCTGAGTTATCAGGCTTGGTGGAAAACTCAGAGTACACAAGATCCCCATGAATTCATGGTCTATTAACAAGTTTTGCTGTATTTAACAGATGATCCTTTCTTCCAAAAAGAGAGAAAAAAATTCTCTTACTTTTTGTTTTAAATTTTGCTAGTCAAGTGCTCCTTAATGAGAAGATACAACTTTCTGCAAAATATACCTATACTGTTCCCTAGAAAATCCACTGGTATTTTCCAGGCTTTTTCATTCGTCAGTATTATCAAATATGCTGTACATTTATATTGGCATGTTTTCTTTTTTGGATTTTATTTATTCTCGTAGTTTTGCATTTGGCTCCTTAATATCTGCTGTGGACCCAGTGGCTACTATTGCCATCTTCAATGCCCTTAACGTAGATCCTGTGCTTAACATGTTGGTTTTTGGAGAAAGTATTCTCAATGATGCAGTCTCTATTGTCCTGACAAAGTAAGTGCATTTGAATTTGTACTGTACTGTAGCACTCCCTTGTAGATGGCCATAAAGCTCTAATTAATTTTGTTACAGATCCCCTTTTAGACTTACAAAATTCCTGATTCTTAACAAAAACTGTACAGGCAGAAAATACATGTTTTTCATCTCATATCGTTGTGTTGCTTGCCTATGTATCCAAAGTTAGAACAGGAGAACTAAGTATTGTCATTCTGCTTCTATTCTAATATTATAATAGCAATCACATTAGCTTGACTATCTCTTATTCTTAAAGTGCAGTTCTACTCTGAAAAATTACCTTATAAAGTGACTTTGTTGAGCTCTATTTCAGTACTATTTCATTGATTCCAGATCAGATTTGCTCAGTTTACATGTTAAATTTTTTCCCTCCTCACCCCAGTCCTGGGATCTGAAAAGCAAGCTTTGTTCTTTCTGGCTTATTTAGAAAGATTTTGCTAGCCAAATCCTTCTGTCATTGCGCCTCTGACTCCTGGTCATTGGTTTATGGAATCCTGACTGCAAGCCAGTGGGGTTGCACTAGTGGCCCTGCAAAGGGAATTAAGTTAAGAATTCTATTGACAGTACATGAGCCAGAAGAGAATCCAGTTCACCCTCTCTTAGCTATGTTGGTTCTGCAGGGCTGACAGGAATAAAATGTTCCCCAGTTTTACTGTTTTCATTGAAGTCAGTAGATGTCACTAAGAATACATAGGGACAGCAGATCTCCTGAGTAAAAAGGTGCTATATTTACATAGCCATTTTCAGGGAAGAAATGTACTTTAACCACTATCTATCATAGGTACTTTTCAATAAGGCCATGGGGTCTGTGAGCTCTAACACAATTGGGCTCTTTCTTTCCATATTGCCTCATGTTGTAGCAGTTTCATATTCCATGGGATCCAAAGAGCTCTCCCCTTTCCTCCCAGCCTCTCCCCTAAATCACTTATTTTGCCCTTCTTCAGTGACCCTGCAGCCTCTCTCCTCCATATGGGGATGGGGCTTTCTGTTTGTTTGTTTACTCTCCCACATAAGGATCATGTGATTTGTCTTTTTATTCCTTCTCCAACCTTGAGTTTTTACCATTGAAAAATGCATTTTCTTTTCCCTGCTAAAAGTGTGGAACCTGTGTTGCTGTGCTGGGCATCGTTGTAGCCTATTGATCCATTGTGAGAAGATTTCACAAGAGCAATGTTAGATTTCCAGATTTTTAGTGGAATTAGGTTTCCCTTTAGGGATTATACCAACACTTGATTTAATATCTTCTGACATTGCTCTTGTTATATCACAGTAAAAGCCTTTTAAAAGCAGTAGCAACAGAGAACTGTAGGTTGCTTGAATTTTTTTCTAAAGACATTTGGCTTTTTCAGATCAAGTCTTCATAACTGTTTGTTGCTAATGTTTTTTTCTTTTTTAAAATCATTCCCAGCACAGCAGAAGGTTTGACAAGAGAAAATATGTCAGATGTAAGTGGATGGCAAACCTTTCTCCAGGCACTGGGTTACTTTCTTAAGATGTTCTTTGGCTCTGCAGCACTTGGCACTCTTACCGGCCTTATTTCTGCATTAATATCCTTTTTTGGGGTAATGTGATGCACATGCATAAATTGGTGAAGTCTACCGTTCTAACAATGATTTTCATCCAGTCATTCTGTAATGTTCCTTAGAGGGATGATTTTTATATAAGGTCTTTTTGTGGGCATGATATTTTCTCTCGCTTATTTTGTTTGTAATATTAGTACTAATGGGCCTATTTTTAAACCTTACATAAAAGCTTTGTATGCTTAGATGATTGTAATTAAGGTCTAAATTATTGTATACTATTTTAGATTATATGTAGATAGAGTGTTATAAATTTGCTAGTTGTTTTCTAAATTCACAATATTAATTCTGTTTTCAACATTGATCCATTTTAATAGCATACGTCCTAGTTTTCACATGTAAAAATGGTAAATTAATTTTTAAAAAATAAGAAAAATATCTTTCCCCAAGAAATTTTTAAGTCAGACCATGAAATCTTCCAGCCTTACATGTCATATTCAGCGAACTGAATATGGATACCGCTCAGTTTGGGTTTATATGCTGAATTATATCTGTGGCTTTCTACACCAGCTTGAATTGGTTGCTAAACAACCTGAGAGCTTCTCCCCTAAGATAAGGAAGGATGTTTGTTTAAACCAGACACCTTTGTTGCTTTTGAAAGCTTGCTTCAATGTTTAAAATAGAAACCTGTTTCATATTTTTTGCGCTAGCCTTATGCTAGTTATTTGTTTAACCTGTCCATATTGTCAAGTACTTTGTTTTGTAAATGAGAGGACCAGAGTGTTTGTTTAAACATGGGCACATTTGCTATCTTTGTTCATTAGAATTGTTCCATGCACTTTTGATTCATTCAAAACATCTCAGCAAAAGAGAGAGACTGACATTTTCCTGATGCAGCTATTTTTCATTCAATAATATCTAACTGAAAAAGGCCAAACAGAAAAGCAGTTTAACTGCTCTGATATTTTATTGTTGTTTGAGCCTGAAAATATTAGCTAGAGTAAAATATTTCTGTGAAGCAAATAAAATTTATAATAGTTGCCGGCAGATAGATATGATTGAAACTTGCCTGTTCATTAGCCTGGAGGAACCTGAACTTCCATGTCACAGATGTCTTCTGAATTTTAACAAAGATGAATGTGGACTATTTTGAAAGTGAGACAAGAGCATGATTCGTCAAGTGCATGAACATGTTGATGTAGATGTTATCGCTGATCAGTCATGTCCTTTTGGAACTAACTCAAAATCTAGCTGAATATACAACTGATGACAGATAGAGCATGTTTGCCCTACTAAACATATAAGGTGAAATCTTGCTCCCCTCCTCTGCAACCATGTTGTATTTCCACTGCATGATATGGAGAGGGGACGCTCTCATACAGGTAGTAGAGGTCTGCTACAGTGAATCTGAACTGGTGGATTACACTGATTCACAGGTAGTGTATGCTGAGCCACTGGTTAAATCTCCTCCTGAGTTGGGAATTCACTTGCTTTGGGTGCTGCTGCAGCCCTGAGGCTGTAACCCCAGCTATGGAACAGCTCTGATTCTGCTCTGCTTCCTTCTTCCCGAGAGAAGCCCAGCTCGCAGCCTGGCCAGCTAAGATGTGGGGTCCAGGTTTGGTTCTAACTTAAACTCTTTGCACTTTCACAGTAAAGAATCATTTTGCTTTTAATTTTTTTCAATCTTTGATGCTAAGTGGGAAATAACTGTATTACAGCTGCTTCAAAAGCAATCTAGGCCAGGGTGAAATCCTGGCTTCATTGAAGTCAGTCCTCACATCTTCTTGTCAACTGTCTAAAATCTTGATTATCACTCCAAAAGTTTTTTTTCTCCTGCTGATAATAGCTCATCTTAATTAATTAGCTTCTTACAGTTGGTATGGCTACTTCCACCTTTTCATGTTCTCTGTATGTATATATATCTACTTACTATATGTTCCATTCTATGCATCTGATGAAGTGGGCTGTAGCCCACGAAAGCTTATGCTCAAATAAATTTGTTAGTCTCTAAGGTGCCACAAGTACTCCTGTTCTTTTTGCGGATACAGACTAACACGGCTGCTACTCTGAAACCAGTGGAAGCTATGTCATTGATTTGAATGGAGCCAGGATTTCACTCCTAGTAAATCTTTCTAGAACAAATACAGATGCAGTCAGAAGTTAGCTCACATTTTCATAAATGTCTCAGCAAGGACAAAAGAGGATTTTATTTCTGTCAAAAGTAGAAATGAGAGAAAACGTGTGGGCCATTTCAGTTCTGAGTCCCAGCTTCTAACCCATCCCATATTGATAGAAAGCCATTATTGTTTGAAGACTGTTCTGTGACTTCTCTGCAATAAATTTGATGGTCTCAGTTCAGTTCTGAAGGAACAGGAATACACATCATGATTGGAAATGTCTGCTAGTCTGAGTGGAGGGGTCAACAAGTGAATGTGCATACAAAAGTGGTGCTTCCAGATCCAGGTTTAAACACGTTGGCATGCTGCTGTCCATATTTTATGTACTCGGTAAAAAAACAGTGGCCTTCAGTCTCTAGGGCTGTCTAACAGCTTTCACCAACTTTAATTTCACTTCAAACCCTCCATCCCAGAAATGATTAATCAATCCACAGGATGTTTTACAGGCGTAATATTAGCTATTCACGAAACAAATATATGAAATGTGGTGAGTGGTGAACCTATATGGAATAGATTAGAATTTTTCTGTGGATTTCTTTTCTTACTTTTTCCTTAATGGTTTGATATGTACGTACTAAAGCACATTGATTTAAGGAAAACACCCTCCCTGGAGTTTGGGATGATGATTATCTTTGCTTATCTTCCTTATGGACTTGCAGAAGGAATCTCACTCTCAGGTAGGCAGCAAAGTGAATATGTGCAAAATTAGTTATTGAATTGTAAAAAGTTAGCAATCTGGATGTACAGGATTTTCAGTTTCTGGTACTGGGTTCTCTTCCCCCAGTGTTCCAATGTGTGTGAGATACCTATTGACACTAATATTAATACTGTAGTTTCAAATGACTCATTCTGCATATTTGCATGCACAATTACTCTGTGCATACAGTCACATTACTAAGGCATACAAATGGAAATGTAAACTATTTTGAAACCTGACCTAGTGGTTTAATGTGTTAAAGTATTTGGTGTTGCTGTGAAAATAGGCTTTGCCCTGTAAACAAGCTATGCTAAAATACTGAGCATATTACATAAACATTTCAAAACATGAAACCTTTTTATTCCTGGTACGTATTGCATAGTAAAATACTGTAAATTAGTCATTAATTATTGTATATGGCAGAGAATGTTTACAAATATGACTTCTTAATTGCTGACATTAGAAAGTACTTCACTTCTTTTTTAAGTACATAACACATTGTAACGACAAACTCCCTTATTTGTTCAAACTACTTCCAAAAATGATTTATCAGAAGAGTAGAAACTCTGAATAACCTTGGTCATGTTCTGTAACTACAAAGGTCATCTCTGCATTCCAAACAAAGGATTCTTTTGAGTACACTTCAGATACGTGTTCTTTTCCTTCCATTCCAGTTCATCAGGGCCACTCCTGTTTGGGCATGTAGCTGTAGTCAAATACTGTTAGCTTTTCAAACTTTCTTTGTTTTTGACTAAACAGGGCATTGTGTTATAACCCTCAATTAAGTTTATCATTATTCCCAAATGTCATTTAGTCCTTTCCGTAATCTTCACCGCAGTTGATTTCCTCTTGAGGAACATGTTGTGGCCTTGTGCTTACTTATTCCACAAATTCCTTACAGGTGACAGCATAGTAACTTCACAAGTGAGTAATGTAATGTGTTTCCACAGAACTGCAAAAATCACAGCCACCATCTTGGAATCACTCTTTCACAGGAACAAGACCCTGGGGTTGCTTTTGAAACTTTTAAAGCCTTTTTTAAAATGTTCAGCTCTCCATGAACAACTGAACACTGCACATAATGCTTTCTTATTGCTTCTTGAGTGCTCAGAGAAAGTAAAACATATAGCCCAAGAACTGGATGGAAAATGGAGTAAAGTAATCCTCCCCCAACTTAAAGCAAGGGTGCAGGACTGCACCATACTACCTCACTTTCTAAGGCTGCTGCTCCAGCCCATGGGGTGGAATATCAACTGCTGGCTCAACCTGCCACTTGCATACGGTGTTAGGGCCACAGGATCTTTATAATTGTAAACCTAATGTCCCCTCCCTTAGCTCTCTCACTGCTACCTTCCATGCTAACCTAAAATGGCTGGGTTAGAGGCCCCCTCTGCATTATTCTGGGAGTGCATAGGCCCACCTTGCACAGCAGCTTTACCCTGGCTCCATCATGGGCCGTAAGGATTGTGCCATCTCTCCCTACCAACGATAAAATTCCCCCCTGTCTCAGATTGATAGTGAGCAGTGTGTAGAGCGGGGAGACAAACTTTGCTTGGAGAATTAAATGATGCAATTTCCTAGCCCCATAGATTTGAGTTTTTCCTTTTTGATCTTGCCTATCTTTGCTGTTTGTCAGGGAAATTTAAAAGCAGGAAAACATGGTTTGGGTTCAGCGTATTACACACCTCATGGACATCCTGATAGGAAAACCTGAAAGAACAAGGGTTTATTCTTTAAACTAGACATGGAGTTCCAGATCCTGCCCTTGAATACACCTGTGCAAGCTTGATGTGGTGAATTACATTCCAACAGCAGCCAGCAATCCATCTACACTAGAGCTCCCAATGTTCCTATGACTATGGCGCTGAACCAGTGTTAGCAATGATGGGAAAATTTCCCCTAGAGTAGACACCCTCTTAACCTCTTCCTCAGCTTTCCCAACTGTAAAATGGGATAATCCTACCTTGTGATGGTGTTGTGAGGATTAAGTAGGCAGTGTTTGTAAAGTTCCATATAAATGCTAAGTATTATTCTGCTGTTTGACAGTTGCACTGTATCCACAGGTATCATGGCAATCCTGTTCTCTGGCATTGTGATGTCTCACTACACACACCATAACCTTTCCCCAGTTACACAGATCCTAATGCAACAGACACTGAGAGCCGTTGGTTTCATGTGTGGTAGGTACTACCTTTAGCTTGAGCCTAATATCCATTAGATTAATATTTGTTTTGTATGAAAGGAAGATTCTGTTAGCGTCAGGAGGGAAGGCTGAGTGATCCTCTAGCCAGTCGTATATCAGTACTACATGTCTCTACCAACACACTTACTACTATGAAGGCTGCCAGGTAGTCTAAAGTCACCTTTACTGACATATTGGGTAAGCTATACAGTAAATCTTCTCCCTCCCACATCCTTCAGTCCAAGCTCTAGCTAAGACTTGACACACAATTGAGAACCAAATAGATCTTCTTGCCTCCTTTTCCCCTCTGGCCTAGTTTCAATTGAAGGAGACTTGAACATGTCCCTATTTTTAAAACGGTTTTGGATATAAAGAAGCTATTTGAAAAAATTATAGTGTTTCAGACATTGGCAAAGATTAATAGGTATCTCCAGTCAAACCACCCAGAGCAACGCAATTGGTAGCCTTTCCTTTTTTTCCTGTTGGCCAAATTTGTGAGGAAGAAAGGGAGAAGATTCTGCATCACAATATAAACTTACGTTTAAGGGCACCTGCATGATACCATACCTTGTGCAAGAGGAATAGCAGGGTATGTCTACACTACCCGCCGGATCGGCGGGTAGCGATCGATCTATCAGGGATTGATTTATCGTGTGTAGTGTAGATGCGATAAATCGATCCTGATCGCTCTCCCGTCGACTGCTGAACTCCAGCAGTGCGAGAGGCAGAAGCAAAGTCGACGGGGGAGCCGCGGCCGTCAATCCCGCGCCGCGAGGACGCAAAGTAAGTAATTTTAATTCGATCTAAGATAGGTCGACTTCAGCTACGCTATTCTCATAGCTGAAGTTGCGTATCTTAGATTGATTCCCCCCCCCCGGCCAGTGTAGACCAGGTCTCAGTGTCTCTGTCTCTCTTCCTAACAAAGAGCCCGCTTTGCTAGGACTAGATCAGCTGAAAATGCAGTAATCATATACATGCAAAGTCTAATAATTTTAAAACACATTGAATGTTCTAAATAGCATATTGACTTTGTGCTTCAGAAATAAAGTGATATTATGAAAATGCCTTAGTAATTGTTAATGGCACTATCAGAGACATTTGTAAAAATAACTTCCATGTGTTGTTAGAACAATATATTTGCTTGTATAATGCAGTATTTTAATTTATCATGCAAAGCATTAAGAAGTGCAGTAATTTAGTAAGATTTAAATATTTATGCATGTAACGTTATAATAAAATGTTTGACTCAGAATGTTTGAAAGTTCTGTGAGATATTCATTTTTATATAGGGCCTGATCTAAAAAAATCCACTAGGGTCAATGGGCGTCTTTTCATTAACTTCAATGGGCTTTGAAACAGGCCCAAATTCTTCAAGCAGGCAAGCATACCAGTGAAGACATTTTTCAGTAATTTAGGGTAAAATTCTGCTAGCCTTCTTCACGCTGATTAATATTTACTCCTGAAATCAGACTACTCATGGAGTAAGGTGCTGCTCAGTGAGAGTAAGGGTGGCAGAATCTGGCCCCTGCATTATGGTAGATATGTCTATTTTGAATCTGGCCTGAGTCAAAGAAGCAGGGAGTGTGTGCGCGCATATATATAATGTATGTAATAGCCTATTACAGGAGTAGGAAAGGTTTTAGATACCAGCTTTTATTGACCAGCATAGTTTTATTTGAATAACTAAGTTTGATCTCTTTTTCAGAAACCTGTGTTTTTGCATTTCTTGGTCTGTCCATTTTTAGTTTTCCTCACAAGTTTGAAATGTCCTTTGTCATCTGGTGCATAGTAAGTATTTACTTTCCTCTGAAAGCTTTTAAAACCTTTTACAGTATTTGTAAAACAAAACAAAACGTTACAGTATTTTTCATGGTCTATAGGGCTCAAGAGTTATGTTTTTACAAAACCTCCTATGTTTATCTTTTCATAAAATATTCTCAGGCTATTTCTATATTGTACATCATGCATCCCGAATCCCCAGCAGTGAAATGAAATTAACTATTTCTTCTGATTGTCCACACGACTTTGGCATGGATTTCTAAGAGCATATTTTAAGGAATTCTAGTGTAGCTAGTGCAGCTTGTGTGTATGAGATTATTTGAAAAGACCTGAAGAATCCCTGCTTGAGTCTGACTTTCAATCAGATTTATTAAAATAGCACCTTTTCAGAAGTCCCAAAGGGTGGAAAGATTATGAGGGGAGCACTTCTTCTCTACGTAACATTTTAAGTTCCTGAATTTTTTACATATTTTAATTACAAAGTAAAAGAAATAAATGATACTTTAGATTATGCCTCACACGAGGATAACGTGCCTGTTACTATTATCATATCAGTTTACAAATGCATAACATGCTCCCCTTTCGCAGAGGGAAAAGAACAAAATATTAATCCACAGTGGGGCTGGCCTAGAGGGTAGCACCAGATGCTGCCACATTTGAGTGTATACTTCAGAAGCGCCCTTGTTCTGCCATGAGAGACGTTGAGGTGTTGGTCTCATCTGTGGGAGCTGAGAGGCTGCTCTCAATGCATTACATTTAACTACCTCTTCTCACAAGCAGAGTGGCATTTCATTCTTGTTGGAGACTGCCTTCACAGCCCAAAGGCAAAGGCAGTAATTATGGCTGGTTGCCATGCAGAAAAAGGGCACAGCCCTAGGAACTCCCACACGTTCTAGCTCTAGGATATTTATCTTGTCAAGGCATGTTTATTGCGGTGTTCTTTGATGAGCAGCATTACTGGAACTCCACCTTATTAAGCGGAATTTTCCTTGTCATTTGTTGACATTCATTGTGTAGAAGAAAATTATCCTCAGTTCTCATAATTCTATTTGCACATATTGGGTATGTTCTTTTACAATGATCTCTGGGAAGTGCTGAGGGACTGAATTATAACCAGCCGTTTGGCTTTCCGCCCGTTTCTCTGAGGCACTGGCCTATGGGGAGGCAGCAGAAATTTCTGCTTGCCTTTCAGATGCTCCACAAATGATTAAAGGAGCTGGACTGCTTTTGGGGGGCTATCAGAGGCGCTCAACCTGCACTCAAATGAATCCCTGGGTTTTTTGGAATGCCCTCTTGGCTTTCAATTCACTTGTCATTTGTAAAACAGCATCTGGTAACTTTTTCAATTATTTCTATAGTCTCTCTGTAATGAGTTTTAGTTCCAATGACTCGGTGTTTGAAAATGTAAGCTCCACATTGACCTATGCTGAGCAATTGCTTTAAGTTGGATTACCAGTATAGCTAGTTATGAGGCATGTATGTTGAGAGTAATACATTACCTTGACTATTCACAAACTGGTTACAATTTTTACTGCTCTATAGAGAATGGATGTAATGCATTAAATAGCCTTTAACTCATTATCTAATTTGTTGCTGTTAACAGGTGCTTGTCCTGTTTGGCAGAGCAGTGAATATTTTTCCTCTCTCTTACCTGCTCAACTTCTTTCGTGATCATAAAATCACCCCCAAAATGATGTTCATCATGTGGTTTAGTGGTAAGTCTAAGCTTGGAGTTTACAGCATAGTGTATCATAGTAGGTGCTGCTCTGCATGATACTGTGCCTCTGTCTATGGTGCAAACGCTAAATGGGCATTTGTGTCCTTCTCAAATCTACATGCAGCCGCGATGCTATGTTTTCCCTATGCAGGTGAGCCAGGCAGTAAAGAGCCCAGCCCGGGAAAGTGTACAAAGACTGCCTTTAAAATAGCCTGATTTTAGGGACCTAATAGCTTGACAGATTTGCATTCAAAAGCTGTAGAGATCTGATTTGTTTAGAAATTCAGATAGGCAATCAAATGCTAGGGTTATGGGCACATCATACGAACCTAGATAGCCTTAAAACATGAAATAGGTTTAGAAGAAGAGACTTCTAATAGGTTGAACATCATGTTCATTTATAAGGATGCAGAGGCCAAATCTTGCTGTTGATGTAGTTTTTATTCTTGGTTTATAATCCTCTCTGATCAGGTTTACGTGGGGCAATTCCATATGCCCTGAGCCTCCATTTGGGCTTGGAGCCAATAGAAAAGCGGCAGCTCATTGGAACCACAACTATCATTATTGTGTTATTCACAATTTTATTGTTGGGTGGAGGAACCATGCCCCTTATCAGACTGATTGATATTGAGGATTCTAAAGCGCGAAGAAGAAACAAGAAGGATATTAACCTCAGCAAGACTGAAAAGATGGTTTGTTCCTTTTATTCTGATTTTTTTAAATGAATGATCATTGATACTTTTCTTTAATTTTCAAAAAAGATCAATGCATAATAAATATACAGTGGTACTTTCTGTTGGAAAAAGAGATGAAAGCAAAGAAAGGAGTTTTTAAATTAAGGGCTAAGACAGTGTGGAGGAGCACACAGTTCAGACAGAGACATCCTTTAGGGGAGGATTTGTTTAGGGCAGGGGTTCCCAAACTTAGTTTGTGGCTTGTTCAGAGTAAGTCCCTGGCGGGCCACGAGACACTTTGTTTACCTGAGCGTCTGCAGGTACGGCCGCTTGCAGCTCCCAGTGGCCGCGGTTCGCCGTTCCCGACCAATGGGAGCTGTGGGAAGTAGTGGCCTAGCCTGTGCCGCTTCCCGCAGCTCCCATTGGTTGGGAACGGCGAACCGCAGCCACTGGGAGCTGCGAGCGGCCGTACCTGTGGACGCTCAGGTAAACAAAGCGTCTCGTGGCCCGCCAGGGGCTTACCCTGAACAAGCTCCGAACCAAGTTTGGGAACCCCTGGTTTAGGGGATTCTCTTTATTGTTGGTTTTCAACTTGTGGTCAAGATAGTTAAGTCCAAAGCTGACTGTGAAAAGTTACAAAGGGTTCTAGTAATTCTACCCATGGCAGTCCCAGGATATTAGAGAGACAAGGTGGGTGAGGTAATATCTTTTATTGAACCAACTTCTGTTGGTGAGAGAGACAAGCTTTCGAGCCACAGAGAGCTCTTTAGGTCACTATTATAGTGACCATAATGCCACTATATATATATAAAAAAAACCTGAGGGAAAAGCTCTGTTTGGCTCGAAAGCTTGTCTCTCTCACCAACAGAAGTTGGTCCAGATGAAATTCCATGTTGATAAGTGCACATCGGAAAACATAATCCCAACTGTACACACCAAATGATGGTATCTACATTAGCTGTTACTACTCAAGAAAGAGATCTTGGAGTCATTGTGGATAGGTCTCTGAAAACATCTGCTCAATGTGTAGTGGCAGTCAAAAAAGCTAACAGAACGTTAGGAACCATTAGGAAAGGGATAGATAAGATAGAAAATATCATAATGTCACTATATAAATCCATGGTATGCCCACACCTTGAATACTACATGCAGTTCTGGTCAGCCATCTCAAAAAAGATATATTAGAATTGGAAAAGGTACACAGAGGGGCAGCAAAAATGGTTAGGGATATGAAACTGCTTCTATCTGAGGAGAGATTAAAAAGTCTATGACTGTTTAACTTGGAAAAGAAACGACTAAAGGGAGATACAATAGAGGTCTGTAAGATCGTGAGTGGTGTGGAGAAAGTGAATAAGGAAGTGTTATTTACCCCTTCACATAACACGGGAGCCAGGGATCACCCAATTACATTAATAGGCAGCCGGTTTAAAAACAAAAAAACTTAAGGATGAACTTCTTCACACAATGCAGAGTCAACCTGTGGAACTTGTTACCAAGTTATGTTGTGAAGGCCAAAATATAATTGGGTTAAAAAAAGAATTAGATAAGTTCATGGAGGATTGGTTCATCAATGGCTATTAGCCAAGATGGCAAGGGATGCAACCCCATACTCTGTGTCACTAAACCTCTGACTGCCAGAAGCTGGGACTGGACAACAGGGGATGAATCACTCGACAATTGCCCTGTTCTGGTCATTCCCTGTGAAGTATCTAGCATTTGCCACTGTCAGAAGACAGGATATTAAGCTAGATGGACCATTGGTCTGACCCAGTGTGGCTGTTCTTATGAAAATACACTAAGGGATAAAACCTAGTCACCAGGGCCGGCTCTGGCTTTTTGGCCGCCCCAAGCACCAGCTTACTCAGCTGATGCCTGGAGCCAGCCCTGCTTGTCATTTTAAAATATTGTAAAAGCATTACTAAACCAACATTTATGTGAGTAACTCTATTGAAAATGTAGGGATCTAACGTAATGACTATAACCCAATCTAATTACAAATAGATCAGCACAAAATAAAGTAACCCCCATGGAAACACAGGCAAGATTCAGGATGGACTAAGTCATATACAAATCGATAATAGCTAGTCCCGTGTCGCTGAGGGAGGCCACTGGCACCTCAATCATGAGAGGCAGGTGAAAGTTGTTTAAAGGAACAAGTTCAAAACAAAAGCCAAAGGTGCAGTGGTCAGATTTATAAGGTTATTCCAATATGTCTGATCTTTTTAGGGTAATACCATTGAATCTGAACATTTATCAGAACTCACAGAGGAAGAGTATGAAGCCCACTACATAAAGCGCCAGGATCTCAAAGGCTTTATGTGGCTTGATGCCAGGTATTTGAATCCGTTCTTCACAAGGCGGCTCACACAGGAGGTGGGTTCTGCTTGTTTTGTTGTTCTGTGGTAAGTGTTGGCATAGCATTTTGTGGAATTCCATTCAAAGGCTTGCAACTTTTGAGCTGGGCATAGTGAGGTGACCAGTCTTACTTGTTTATTGAGAGTTGACTGCCTTGTAAAATGCTAATTTGATTTAAGTTAACACTTTTCATGGCTTCCAAAGTTTGTAATAAATGTACAGAAGTGTGAGCTTTTATTAAACTCTTCTTTAATGTTACAGACTAAGATACCTATTTCAACAGTTTGGTTACTAAACCTAGGCTTAGTAGACATTTGTGCCTAAAAATGGAAGCATCAGACCTGGCAAAGCTAAAATGTTAGTGTAAAATGTTGCCCACACACATGCATGCTTTTTAAAAACCCTGTGGCACAAGCAGGTGCAGTACTGGTTATATTGCAGCTGTGGGATTTGCTGTAGAATTCACCCTTTGTCACAGAGTTGTGCACTGGAATTGTAGCTCTCACTTAAAAAGTTTCTGCTCCTTCTCCTTGTGAAGAGAATTTTGAAACTGTGACTCGAAAGCAACCTGATGCCTCTGCTTCAGGCTCTCTACAAATTATGACTGAGAGGTGTGAACTGCTCTACTCTTCTCACTCAGAGCCCCGTAGACTCTGGGATTCTGCGGCCACAGATTGTTTTTCCCCACATGCTGTGGAATTCAGCATTTTTTGTTGCGGAATTCACCGTTTTGCTGCACCATGCATGTTTTGTTTTGTCTCTGGGCCCTGGTAAAACCTGCTTTCAGGCTACTTCTTGCTCTGCGCCTTTCCCTGCAAGAGAAAATTAATTAGATTCCAGGGCATGCTCCCTGCACTGTTCCATAGAACCAGGCAGTGGGGGGGCGGGGGGGGGTTGGGAAACCAGAGCTACAGTCCACCTTGTGCCAGGGAGCCAGAATATAGGCTGCCGGGAAAACAGAGCAGCATCCAAGGCCTGGGAAGATAGAATGAGCCACTGAAGCTGACTACAAGCTTCCTGCTTCAACCTGACGCACATACAAAGAAAGGCGATTCGGAGCCAGGCCACCCAGAAAACATTACTGCTGACAGCTCAGCTCTGTGGGCCTCTGGAGAACACAGGGGGAAAAAATCTGTCATCAGAAATAATTGTTGCTGAAAATAACCACTGACGGATTGTACATTGATGTTTATTTTCCATTGTGAGCATAACTGTGTCTACACTTAGGGACAGGAGCGATGGGAATGAAGGGTATTTAATGAAGATGCAGTAAATCGTCACTCTCACTCACACAGTGCTGTATCTAAACAGAAATTTTGATTTCCTTTTGCCTTAGGACCTACATCATGGACGCATACAGATGAAAAGTCTCACCAACAAATGGTATGAAGAGGTGCGACAAGGACCCTCAGGGTCTGAAGATGATGAACAGGAGCTGCTATAGCAGGCTAGAGGAGGAGGATTGTAACGAGTTTATCATAGAGCACCAAAAACTAGATTTAAGTAACAAAAGATTCTGACTGTACAAAAGCCCAGGGTATTAAGATTGAAGACTTCCCACTGCAGGTCCCACCATGTGCTGTTGTACTTAGATTTCACAGAACCATATACACAGTACTTCATAAGACCGGTCGCTGCAGGACCCCCCCTACAGTAACACAAAAGCAGAATGTGGGCTGAGGATAGAGCTGTACCTTTTAATTCTGAATATCACAGCACTTGTAAGTTTCACTCAGCCCATTCAAAACTGCATTGAAATAACCTTGAAGAAGAGTGTCTTCCATTCTGATGTAAGCTGTAAATGCATGTTACAGTACAGGTTCCATAATACGGCTCCACAAAACAGAATGAGTTGCACTTTATTGTATACTTTAATACTCATTCATATCTTGGGGAGTCATGATGGTTTATACTGTGAATTTGTGCCAATAAAAATAATTGAATCTTTGTCTGGACCAAAACTGTAATTTGCATATTATGGATCCAGAATGCATAGTGAGCCCCCAGACAAGAAGCAGATATTGTGCATGGACAAAAGCACCAGAACCTTTTAAATACTCAGTGTGTCTGCCATTGTTGTTTTTTTAATGTTGAAATGACTTAATCCACAGTACTTGCCATTGCCTAAAGTGTGTTTTTAAATGAGAAAGCGTAGAACTGGATTTGAAATCCATAGGTTTTTTTACTTATCCCCCCACCACACACACACACTCGCCTGTAACTTATAAATGGTTACACTTTTTTAACAAAAATTATAATAAAAAAGGTTGCTCCTAGCTACAGGCTTTGAATCTCAGGAAGCAGCCGTTTTTGCTTTGCCTAAATTCCTGAAATATCCCTAACACGCCTGAGGGTTCATGAGGAATGTAGGAAGGTTTTTAAATTCTAGAGGCATCAGTAGCAGGCTTTTCCATATAGTTTTTTTGGAAACACAGAAAAAGTCCCCAGAAAACCTAACCCAGCGGTGGAAGACTTTATTATGCATTGCTGCAGCATCCTCTGTTGGGAAATGCCAGACACTTAGCATTCCATTAAGTTGTCCTGCTACTTTAATTTTTTTATGGTCATAGTAGTGTGTAAAAATGATCAGCACTGTTTTGCTTTTCCCACATGCAATGGACCATTTGTTCAGAACTGCACACACACACGTGTGCACCTTTTCATGGTGCACACTTACTGTGTTTCAGCTACAGTAAATACAAATTTTTATTGCCTAGTTGGTCATTTGCACATGCTTTAAAAAAAAAAAAAACTTTACTGAGCATTTTCAATCATGGGTCTATTGTATTTTTTCTGGACAAATAAAGGACACTTCAGGAATGTGTTCAAAAAGCATAAATGCTCAAAATCCTAAATATGGATTGACTTACTAGTTTTTCATATGTGTGTGTTTGAAAGCTGGTCCTGATGTTTAAGAAAAAAAAGTGCAGCAGTTTCTGGCTAATCTCTCTGGTGAGCATTCTGTACTTTCGAGCCACCGTTAGTGATATCTGCACCCCCTAAATCAATACAGATTAAGGTGAATAGGGAAGTGAATTAAAGTTTTGGTTCCCTTTTCTACATACCCACTTTGAAACAAGTCTAGTGGCAGCACTCGATGCTGGCAGCTTTCCAACAGCTGTAAATTAGACATGCTAAAGTTAGGCATTGATAGCTGATTAATTTAGCTTTGAAGCAGAGCATTACTAAATATGTGGGCCTCCTAAAGCTATGCCCCATGCAGAAGCAGAACTGTTAGAGAATGTGCTCTCACCAATGAGGGAGACAATGTGTGATTTGCATGATGCTGCCATTAAAAGGTTGATTGTATAGTCCAGCCCTCCTCACTTTAATTTCAGACTCACTTCTACATTTTCACTTGAAAACTAATTAATCTCACTAGGAAATAACATGTTTTTGGGGGTAACAAATCAAGGAACCTCTCTCTGCTAATCAACCATGAAATGCACTTTATTTCCTACCCTTGTACGTGAACAGAATTTGGCTTCATGCTTTATAGAACTGGAACATGCTGCGTAATGTGAGCATGAAGGGGAATGAACTCAGATTGTTTCCAGTGTTGAGTACTGAAGAATCACATCTTGCTTGTTGTTTGGGAGGAGAACAGATCTGTAAAGAATCATACTAACCAGGCTGAAGGAAATTCTAATATTTGATCTTTGTTCCTAGTTCAGAGTTAGGGGTATATGCTTGAAAACATTTTTTAGGATGTGAAAACGCTAGCTGCAGTACTATAAGGTAGGGGTGTGTGATAGAGAGCGAGAAAAATGTAAATTCCACTTTATAATACAGCTATTTCCTCAGGTGCCCATCCAGAGTAAGTGCCCGTTTGTATGTTTTTTTATGGGATGTCACACTTGCTCACAAAGAATAGTTTAAGCTGTGGGGGCTAGGAACCTTTTGAGGTTGCTGAGTATATGAGAATCGCTTTGCCAGATGCATATGCTCTTGGCTTACAGGAGAATGGTAGAAATTGTGGTGTTGGTTTTTTTTAAATACAGGTGAGACCCAGCTTTCCCCATTCAAACAATGGGCTGCGTGTTAGACAGCAGTTTCTGTGGTTTTGATGCACTATGGTAACTAAATAATTGAGGTTAATTGTCAGTTCTTGCAGGTATTTTTGTATCCTTGAGATGTCAATCATTTCAACTTTCTAGTAATAAATAGCAGCTATTGTCCTGATTTACCTGTTCCTAAGAATTGTGTGGTGTAGAACACAATGGTACCAGTTCTTGGCTACGCCTGCATAGTGCACTGTGCACCTCCAGATGGAGCAGGAGAGCTGCAAAGACAGTTTTAAGTCACTCTGTGCTCCCTTTGTTTAGGGAAGTCTTGGCCATACCTCTTGTTCTGTAGACATTCCACAGGTTAGCTGTGGAGAGAAGGAGTGGCACATGAGCTGCTATGTTGCCTCTTGCACCACTGGAGTCCCCTGATTGCCCTGTGGCCATTAGGATGGGTTTAGAGCCACTTTGTAATGGTGATGCAACATAAAACAGCCGAAGATCAGAGCCACTGTTCTCAGTTAGCTAGTTATTTCACTGAAAGACGAGGCAATCTATAAAATGAATGAAGGTTCTATGCTAATATATTGGACTTCTGTGGAAGTTAGAGCTCATGATAAATTGATCATTTCCTGCCCTCTGCTGGTAATTTTTGAAAATACAGTTGGATCTAAATTAGGAAACATTTGCTGCGAATAATTTAATACACATTAAATGGATGCAATGAACTGATATTTTCTGAATTAACGAAAGCAGCCTGAAACTCCTAATTTCAAGGCATATTTACTTTATTTAAATGTAAAAAGCAACTGTGCAAAAGCTTTAACAACGAGATCCTATTTAATGGATTTATCAAAGACTTGCATCTGAGAGGAAAGGATGGGTTTGTGGTTAAGGCACATCACTGGGGAATCAGGACTCCTGGGTTCTAGTCTAGCTTTGCTGCAGACTCACTATGTGACTCTCAGGCAAGCCAGTTAGCCTTTGTGTGCCTCAGTTTCGTTAGCTTATTCTGGTTTTTCTTCATTTGTGCCTTTAGGATTGTAATAATTTCAGAAATCTGTTTGTCAGCCATGACCCACCACTGCCCAGCTCTTTGTCCATTTGCAGGACTATAGAACTGAGGTGCCACTTCGGGTAATATTTGAGAGCTTCAGAGACACTGAGGCAGGCTTTGTGTGAACCATTCTGAACATCATGTTTTAGTCTTGCTTCTTGCAGTAACTGGGTTTTTCCCTGACTACAAGACAAGGCAGGGAAGAACCCAGTTCTGACACTTTATGGTGATGACTGATTTGTAGGTTCATTTATAAATGTGTTGGCTTTTCTGTGGCATTGATCACTCTATTGTGGGCAGCTCAAACATGAACAGATTTATCTTTACAACACTTCTGTGAGGAAGGCCTGTATTATTACTCCCTTTTCACAGAGGGAACCAAATTACAGAGAGATCAGTGGCTTGCACAGGGTGCCATACAATGGCTGTGGCAGAGTAGTGAATTGAATCCAATTCCCAGTCTGATACCACAACTGCAACCCCATCCTTCTGCTGGAATCTCAACTTTGAGTAGCTTTCATTTGAAAAGGGAGCAGAAATCATGTTTAAATGGAGACTGTCAAGGTGCAATGAAGAAGAGAATGTCCTCTCGCCTTTTGAGAGCACTGTTAAGATCTGCCTCAAATCCAGTGTTTGCTCACTTTCTCCAAGCATCCATATGTGAGTTTGTCTAGTTAGTTCTTGTGCCACTTGCTGACCTTACTCCTGACTACTTCTATTGCTCAATCCAATTTAGTCTGAGTCCTCCTATCACAAATATGAGCAGTAGGTCTTGGAATAATGTCAGGGTTATAAACGTGTTTGCTAAAAGGGTGGTACATAAGGGCAGGTGTCTGAATGTAGGGAGCATCATTCTTGCCAAGTTGACACAAGCAGGCTAACAATTCTCAGCTAACAGCTCTTCTTTACAATTGGGCGTGTCTCTCTGAACAGCCTGTTTCATGGTCCATAGATAAAGGATTCTGTAGTATCAGCAGAAAAGTTTGAGCCAAAAGCTAGGATTTGCTTCTCCATGTACCACCAGAAATTACGTTCTAGCAACATGAAGACATTGAGACTGCCATTGCTGTAAAAAGCCCCCTCTCCACCATACTGAAGACACAAAAACGTACAGCTTTTACGAAAAATCCTAAACTGTTGACAGTGATATCCCCTGTCCACCTCCCCCCTGCAAAATCCCAAGTCAACCTATGGCCAGATTTTCCTGTCAGTTACACTGGCATAACTCCATTGAATTTGACCACTGTAGAAAGCAGATTCCAGAGCAAAACAGCTGTCCGCTGACAGCACCCTGCCACTGGGCCCTAGACATTCTGATCCAGGCAGCATTAGCAAGAGACCTTTTATACTATCTCTCAGCAATTCTACAGCTCCTGTCATCATAGTAGGTCGGTGTCTGAAGTAGACAGGACCAATCGGGTTGGGAAGATCAATAGCAAGATCTTGAATTATAGTTGGAAGGGACTAGGATGGTTGTGCAATATTGGGAAAATCAATGCAAAAGCTTGTAAATTAATATAAAATTTCTGGATAGATTTGGTGTCTCCGTTACCTTGGAGATGAACGGATTGTCACAGTTCCA